TAGATCAATGTCAGGTCTCCGGCCTCCGGAGAGCGTAGCCTTGTAGTGCGGGAAGCTCAATACACGGTTGTGAGGTTAAGCAGTCTTGGGCAGGACGTGACGATTCCTTGGGTGAGCCCGGAACCAGAGCATCATGTGCCGGCTCTGCATTTATGGAAGCCTCCTTGGATGGCTGGGAATGCCCATTATCTGCCCCTGCCTTCCCTTGAGGGCTGAAAACTCTACATAGAGCTGCCTCAAGGACGACATTCCGGGGGCCACACCTGTTAAAAGTCAAAGAGGACACCACACAAATGAGGCAACATCTCGACCCACACAAAACAATGGCCACAGTCAACCTAGAAATAGGCTTGTGGTCTTCCTCCGAAGTCGGAGTACATCTGCCGGAGAGGCGGGGAACGAGAACTGCGAACAAATAAGCCAGTAAAACGGATGTACACGCAAAACTCAGGTCAAGGTAAAAGCCAAAAGTCCATTTTGGACGAACAACCGCGACTTACCGCCGGAATTCACAGCCGGTGAACAAGAAGAAGAAGAAGAAGAAGAAGAAGGTCTCCGGACGGTCTTTCGAATTGACTCTGTATACCTTTCTAAATCAGGCAGGTCGACGGCCAGTAAACAGTCACTCGCAGAAATATTGCTGGAGCGTATGCGACCTTGTTGAGTTTACTTTTATAAATCGGCCCAGCCTTAAGGAAGCACATGGGGGCGACGGTAGGACTAGCACTCGTTGGCCTTTTCACTGGTTTGGTCCACAATGTCCGCTAACTCTTTTAGAACTTTTTTGTGACGCCAAGTGTATTTTCCCCTGGCCTAGGGGTTGTCAGCACGCAGACAATACGTGCTCGAGCGTTTGTTTAGCTCTGCTCAGAGGGCATGTTGGTTCGGTAGATGCATGTTATTTCATTATGTTGACGCCAGACGGTAACACATAGTACGCAGATCTTACGGCAAAGCTTAACAGCGGTGGGGATATTTTCCAGATCTCACTCCCTGTTAGTATTCGTTGCAAGGCACTCTCTAGGCTGATCCACTGGCGAGTTTCCAGCGTCCCTTATCTGCTGTATTACCATGTCTCAACCCTCTTTGGACCACCAACTGACTTTTCCCTGCCCTAGGCCACGTCGGTCGGTTTGTGTGAAACTAATTACTTCTTTCAATTTTCAGTGCATCTTGGACAGATTCTATCGCATCAAGGACTTTTCGTTTCTTACCTGTCTTTAAAGTGGATAGGAAGGCTACCACTGTGGGGTCTAAAGACTCGCGCAGCATCATCGCGAGTCTTATTTAGCCGACTTTAAACTCTTTGGTTATCTATTTGAACTGGCGTAACAGCTTAGCCGTCATGCCAACTTTGTACACGAGCAGCGGCCAGCAAAGCTTTGCATTCTACATAAGCAAATATATGATAAGAAGGAACGTGACGCCTGTCCTTACGTTGGCTAACATGGAATTGACCTCATTACGCTTCATACTCCCCAAAACCGCGGGCACGAGTCTGGACGCTGCAACCTGGAGACTTTTGTCACACGCTAAGTGAGATATTACCGATGGGGTCCCAGCACTTATGGTATTGTACTATTCGCAGTGATGATGTTCGGTCGATTAACTAACTTACTTATTTATTACCGTAATTATATCTGTTGTGATAGTCTTACTATACTACCACCGCTTATACGTTTATTGGCGTCCATTTACATTCGACAGCAGATTACTTTGTAAACGTCGGGTAAACAAGGTGTCTATGATTTGCTCCTCTCGTAATCACATCCGATTAGCGGCTCTTTGAGTTACGTGGTATGAGACTTACAGACTGCAATCTCAGACACACACAAAAAAAAAATGGCGTACTCAAAAAAAGCGATTCGGCTAGTTCAGCGGGAGTTAACTCTGAATGATATTTTACAACGTCATGATTGCGTCCCCTCCCTGTTTTCTCCAATGGCTTCCCATTTCCGCCTTCGCAAACGGCTCCAACGACATGTTTAAATATCACTACGTTAATCGAATTTAGAAATGACATATTTAAAAATAAACCACTATGTCTGGCATTCAAGGGCTTTATACAAAACAACGTGAAAGTGATGTTTGAAAGCGCAGTGATCTACCTACATTGTTGCGTGGGCGTTATATCTATGTGAACTGGTAGTTCACGACATTTGCGGCTGACAGCTAAGAATGAAAAAAGCTTTTTACTGTCTTAGTATATTGCTTTCAAACTCTGATTTTTTCCCTCTTTCTGTCTGTCTGTCTGTCTGTCTCTCTCTCTCTCTCTCTCTCTCTCTCTCTCTCTCTCTCTCTCTCTCTCTCTCTCTCTCTCTCTCTCTGTGTGTGTGTTTTATTTTTTTAATTTGTTGTAACCGGGTTGGTTGCTTTTCAATTCAGCAAAAAAAAAAAAAAAAGAAAAATGATAACCTGAATCAATATTGATGATTTAAAATACGCTCAATTCAAAACGCCGGAGACAAATAGTTTTGATAACATGCTGGTGACACATGATTCGACTGTAAAGACTGTACTTCAAGGAACATTAGTCGGTAGACGGATACGGGTGGTGAGGCAAAGAAGAATGTGGAATGAACAACATCAAGAGATTGACAGGGGTATACACTTGTTCAACAAGCGGAAGACAGAGAAAGATATCGAGTTTTGTTTAAAGAGACTTCCATGGTTCACCTCCACCACCCCTAAGGAGTTAATAGTTTTATAAAGTAGGTTATGGTGAATAATTTGTTTTTCTTTTCCAAGCTTGATTGAAATGTAACGGTTAGTCAACATTTTTTTTTAAAAGTTAGTTGCGTATCCTTTACAGGACGTTGCAGAACCAACCCCAAAAGGTTGTGGATATTGTGGTTTTTCTTGGAAAATATACGTCTAGTAGTTTGAAATTGCTTCCTCGACGATCGGCTTCTCGATACCATTGTTGAAACCAACCTAAGACGCAAGGTCCGCAGTTAGGATCGAACCCGGCACCCCGGCATTACGAAGCTCGTTCGCAAGGCCTAAGCCACAGATACCGACTAGTCAACATTGCATATTCATTTACAATACAGTTGGGCTGCGTGGTCTCTAGGCGTGGTATCCGCCTCGAGTGCTAGAGGTTGCGGTTTCAATCTCTGGTTAGGGCTGGGATTTTTTCACGTGGACTTGGACTTCTGGTAATTCCCCCTGGTCTCTAGGTAGTGAGATCGGACACCCGTGTGCATTGTTGCTTTCTTTAAAAAAAGTCTCTTGGCAGTTAGAAATCGAAAAGAGTAACATAACGGCGCTGCCCGGGCAGCCGGTGCTGCAGAGACTGTGCACTGTGCTGAGCTTCTTCGGACTTAGACTTGAGTTAGAAGAAGAACGGAGCGCTTGTGAGTTACTACCCTTTGTGTCATGATGTTGATCCGTTGTTCAAATCTCAAACCTTACAATATGATATTATTGCCCGTAAAAAGACTGCCAGTATCAACAGGCGCCCCAGTTGTATCTTCTTTGAATGTGGGACAGGCTATCTTGGATTTGCCATGTTGGATAAGAAACTTTGAGTCTCAGAAGTTATCAAACACTAAGGCTGCAACCATGGAGGAAAAACGGACAGACAAAAAAACATTTAAATGTGCAGCTGTAGCAAACGGCAAAATCACGTCTGTCCTACTGTATATGATGTAAAGAGACGCAGAGAGTAGCTTTAGATGTAGCTTTTTTTTTCTGTCTTAAAGCGCCATAAAGCGTCGCAGAGAGATCTTAAATGATAGTTTCCTGTCTCTTTGCTCCTACTGTCTACGACGTAAAGCGTCAAAGAGTGTAAATAGATGTATTGTCTTCTATTATATTTTCTAAGACGTAAGGCGTCAAAGAGAGGAGCTTTTTATAATTTCCTCTCTTTTGTCCAAATGTCTATGACGTAAAGCGTCACACAGAGGAGTTAGATGTAGTTTCCTGTCTTTTGTCCGAATGTCTGTGACGTAAAGCGTCACACAGAGGAGTTAGATGTAGTTTCCTGTCTTTTATCCTGTCTCGGGATTTTCCCATAACTGTTCCGTCTCCGTCTTCAGCATTAACCGGAGAGATTATATTCCACTAGCACCTGCTATGACTCTCTCGAGCTCTAGTCATTCCACTTACTCAGGCATATTGACACATTTCTCAACACAACAAGCTTGAAATGCGAACTAACGTTGAGAAACACTACACAGCTAAGTACTTTATTTATTGCTCTAACGAAAATTCTCTGCCAATGGGCCGGAGGTTTCAATTGTAAGAAAATAGCTAGGCAAGAACAGTGGCACTATTTGCCAAATATTTGCTTGTATATTTGTCTAGCCTTTCCCTTGCTGATATTTTCATGCCCCAAATGTAGCACTATTTTTATTTTTTAATTACCGTTACTGGTCCTGACAAATGTGTCCCGATGGAATGTGTCCCGATATATTGCGTGTCCCGATGGAATGTGTCCCGATATACTGTGTGTCCCGATGGAATGTGTCCCGATAGATGTGTGTCCCGATGGAATGTGTCCCGATAGATGTGTGTCCCGATGGAATGTGTCCCGATAGATGTGTGTCCCGATGGAATGTGTCCCTATATACTGTGTGTCCCGATGGAATGTGTCTCGATATATTGTGTGTCCCGATGGAATGTGTGTCCCAATGGGATGTATCCTGATAGATGTGTGTCCCGACAGATGTGTGTCCCGATGGGATGTGTGTCCAGATAGATGGTTGTCCCGATCGAATGTGTCTCGATATTGTGTGTCCGATGGAATGTGTCCCTATATAATGTGTGTCTCGATGGAATGTGTCCCAATATATTGTGTGTCCCGATGGAATGTGTCCCGATAGATGGTTGTCCCGATGGGATGTATTCCAACAGATGTGTGTCCCGATGGAATGTGTCCCGATAGATGTGTGTCCTGATGGGATGTGTGTTCAGATAGATGTGTGTCCCGATAAATGTGTCAGTAACGTGCAATCCAACCTTCGTCTGCAGAATCAACTTCGACACGCCCTGTCCAGTCATTTTACCCAGCCTTCCGGGTCACAGATGAGATCCGAAGCTCACAGGCAACCTTGCGTGACCTCCTGTCACACCGGATGGGTTTACCTTCCTACTTCAAAGCCTTGCAAATGGGATTTCCTCTGGGGATGACCAGGGATAAACTGATGAAGTGAGTTTGAAACCTTTGGACCATTTAAAATATATGTATGTATTAGTCATAACTATTTTACACTCTATAGTGATGAAGTCTAAATTATAATTTAAGAAGAGTTTTGAGGCAACTGAGATTTGGTTCTTGAGTAGAATGCTGCGAATACACCTGAATGCCAGAGTAACTAAGAAAGGTTAGTTGCGTATCCTTTACAGGACGTTGCAGAACCAACCCCAGCAGCCCCTGGCTGTTGTGTGGTTTCTCTAGGCCAATTTACGTCCAGTAGTTTGCCATTGCTTTCTCAACGGTCGGCCTCCTGATACCACTATCGAAACCAACGCAAGGCGCATGGCCCGCAGCAGGGATCGAACCCGGCATCCCGGTATTACGAAGCGTTCGCATCGACTTAACAGAGCCGACAACTAAGAAAGATTTCCTGGAAATGGCTAAAGAAAGTAGAACAGTATATGCAACACTGAGAAGGAGACAAACTAAAGTTCTTTGGTCATGTGATGAGAAAAGGAGCACTGGAAATCGACTAATAAGTTAGCTAGTTAGTTAGCTAGTTAGTTAGTTAGTTAGTTAGTTAGTTAGTTAGTTAGTTAGTTAGTTAGTTAGTTAGTTAGTTAGTTATTTATTTAGTTAGTTAGTTACTTAGTTAGTTATTTAGTTAGTTATTTAGTTAGTTATTTAGTTAGTTAGTTAGTTGGTTAGTTAGTTAGTTAGTTAGTTAGTTAGTTAGTTAGTTAGTTAGTTAGTTAGTTAGTTAGTTAGTTAGTTAGTTAGTTAGTTAGTTAGTTGGTTAGTTAGTTAGTTAGTTAGTTAGTTAGTTAGTTAGTTAGTTAGTTAGTTAGTTAGTTAGTTAGTTATTTAGTTAGTTAGTTAGTTAGTTAGTTAGTTTAGTTAGTTAGTTAGTTAGTTAGTTAGTTAGTTAGTTAGTTAGTTAGTTAGTTAGTTAGTTAGTTAGTTAGTTAGTTAGTTAGTTAGTTAGTTAGTTAGTTAGTTAGTTAGTTGGTTAGTTAGTTGGTTAGTTATTAGTTAGTTAGTTAGTTAGTTGGTTGGTTGGTTGGTTAGTTAGTTAGTTAGTTAGTTAGTTAGTTAGTTAGTTAGTTAGTTAGTTAGTTAGTTAGTTAGTTAGTTAGTTAGTTAGTTAGTTAGTTAGTTAGTTAGTTAGTTAGTTAGTTAGTTAGTTAGTTAGTTAGTTAGTTAGTTAGTAATTTAGTTAGTTGGTTTAAAAAATTTGAAACAATACATATAGTTAAATTTATTGCCTGGAAGGCAAACCCGGTCAACAGAAGTCAGGCGTGTCGACCGGAAGTCGCAAATATCGCAGCCATGCTGTGAAGGGCATAACACTTAATTAACCTCTTTGGATAAACGCAGGAGAGGAAGAACATTTAATTCATTGAGAAACAAAGACTGACATATTCAGCCAGCTAATGGAAAAAGTCCAAAGATGCTGGAAACAAGGGAGTACAAACATACAAGCAGAAACCCAAAGAGGTAGAGGAAGATTTAGAAGATGGATTGAAGGGTGTTACTGACAGCAGAAGAGTTTACAATATGCAGCTCACTAGGCAACGGAAGACTCTGGGACTTTTCTCCAGGCTCTATCGGCGTAGTGGGTAATAAACAGGCTGAATCTGCACCACTAAGTGATGAATTGAAACATGGCAAGGCAGATGTGTTCAAGGCCCTTTGGGAACAGACAACGGAATTAGTAGAGATAGAAGATTATAAAAGCCTGTAGAGAATGAGGCACCTGGGTGTAACCAGAGGGTCTGGCCGGCTCACTAAACTTAAAAGAAAGGCAAGACGGACATAAAACTAGAATGTGACCATTACCATCAGTATTATAACTCTGTGGTGGCTGCTGAAGATGAGGACGGAGCATGCATGGGAATGCCTCGAATGCCGTGATGTCACTTCTTGACACTTCAACTCAACACGGAACACGCCTTAGTTTAGCTGCCTATTATCTGATAAACAGAGGCGCCTGAGATACAAAGCAGACATCGTCAAAAGCGAAAGAGTACTCCAAATGCCTCTGTGACGATGACGCCCGATCACAGGACATAGCAAATGTTATACGTTTTTAGTGGCGAAAGCGTGTATGTAACGGCTGTAATGGTCGTTTAAACTTTCCATCGCCAAAGAAAAATGCATTATTTCACTTTTTATTATTACCGTTTACCACGCGCATATAATGTCAACACTAAAGCAACAATGATACAAATATCACGTGATACCATCTCTAGTATAAACGTTACCTGCCAACGTTACTCCTCGCCACTGTACTATGCTATGTTCTATTGTCTTCTCTCCCACAGACGCCTGGTCTACATGCCTTCCCACCATTCCTTCCGTGAGAAGTTCATCTACAACAACTACATGTACACGCTGGCTGCTCACGTGGTCGAGAAAATGTCAGGCAACAGGAAGTGGGAGGAGCTAGTTCGGGACACGTTTCTACGGCCCTTGAACATGAGCAACAGCGGGTTCTTGAGCAACATCAGTGACTTCTCTCATTTTGCTCTCCCTTGTGCTGTCATCAATAGCTCTATCGTTGACCTATCCACGGAGCTGTTTAAGTAGGACTTTTTTCAACATTTTAGTCACTGTGACGTCCACATCATTCCATAGTATGTGGTTCTCATCATCATCATCAGCTGTCTGGCGTGGGCGATCATGCCTCTCCACAATACGCGATCTCCTGCAGCATGTATCAGTTCGTGTGCTGACACACCTTCATGCCATGCAACAAGATTGTCAATAATCTTCTCTCATTGTCTCCCTCTATCCTTTCCACAGATCTTTTCAGTGGTCACAACATGTTCCATTTTCTCTCGAAAAATGATGACTGACTCCTTCTGATGTCTGTGATAAGATGTCTTCGGGCTCCAGCCTCTTTCGAAGACTCTGAGTTGCTCTTCTCGGCTGTCCTAGGTATTTTAAAGCATTCTTCTCGAAAACCACATCTCTGAGGCTCTCATCAAAGGTCTGCTATAAATTTTTCTATCCGCCTTGGTGCTTGACATGACGCAAAATATTTCAGCTTCCGAGACAAGATGCTGTTTATTAGAAAATCTGTAATGATCTATGGATTTTTTTAAATTCCAGTATTTCTTGACTTCTTTGTCCATGTTATTCTGAGAATCTTTCATAGCATTTCAGCTTAAAAGCCCCTATTTTCTTACTTAATTTAAGGACTGGGAGATTGTCCACGACTCACATCCGTATGTTCCTACAGGGAAGATGCATGCTCTCAAAATTTTAATTTTGATTTCCTTGCTATTGCTTTACAACAAACGTCCACATAAAAAAAAAAAAAAAAAGTAAAGATCCCTTTTCACGCCTTTCGGCGCATCGGGCATATGGGCAGAGCGTCCCATATTTTTACAGAACCATCAGCACTCTGTGGGTAATGTGGTCAGCATTACGCCGGCTGTCTTTACTTTCCCAGGACAGCCCATCCTGGTACCCATTTTAGGCTGGGTCGACCTGCGACGTCCCATACCACGACAAAAATCCACGCAGCCCGCAGTGGGTTTCGATCGCGGTATGCTGGCTCGCAAGTCGGACTCGCGACGCCTTAGCCACAGGACGCCGCAACGTCCACATAGGCAGTGTAAATAGTTCTTCATTCTTTCATTGTGCTGTTGTACTATTATGTGGCACATAGGGCTCGAAGTTTTTTTCTCGGTTCCCTTCTATCCTGTTCAGTCAGTCTAATATTATGGATGGAATCCAGTTCAGCATATTTGGTCTTTCTCATATTTAGTGTTTAAATGGGTGCTTTATTAATATCCTACCCCAAACAAGTGAAATCCACAGGTCACGGGTCAGTCTAATATTTCAGAGGGTGGTAGATAGGCGGCATGCAGTCGTGGGAACTTGGCAGCACTTTATTGTGGGACCAAGGCTGCATTATCTCGTGGGAAGTAGGTAGGTTGGGGTTAGGGCTAGTTCTAGATGTTTTGGGGTCGTTAAAAGCACCAGAAAAGCCTGAAAACCCAGTCTTACCACCCTCTAAAATTGTGGACTCTTCTTTGATTTCATCTGGGGTAAAATATTAGGAAAGAATCTTGAAATGTTCTATAGTTATGCAGTTTTGTAGCGATGTGTTGTCTTTCTATATGGATGCTATGAAAACCTACTGGTGCTAAATAATTATTATCTTCATAACCGTTGCTGTTTAAATGCACCTGTTAAAAGTTATATTTAACTATAATAATATGTTATTTATTATATGTTTCATTTCTATCTACCAGAACTGTAAGCCCCTGTGATCCAGCGGGATCCATCTATTCAAACGCTGAAGACATGGCCAAGTGGATGAACTTTCTGCTTTCCAACGGAAGAGGCGCTGACAGACGGGTGGTTGTTGACCCGGAAGTGATACTTATGACGCTGGAGCCAGGCATGATCTCTAGCCTGCCATTTGAGGAATTGACCCGACCGAAGTTTCCGGTCTCCCACGTGGTGCAGAGCTACAACATGGGCTGGCTGACCGCCAACTACCGAGGTATGATATTATGCAAACTTAAAAAGTGTGAGGGGCCTGTGGTGGAGCAGTTAGGGTAAAACGTTAGAACCAGGGTTGGAATCTCAAATAAGGTCACTGGTTTGTTGTTTAGTTGTGGAAGATAGCTGTACGGCCTTATCTGGAGCTGGCTGTGTAAAAACAAAACAAATTCAGACTATATGAACATGCTTCAAAAAAATTGCTACAGGTAATCTAAGCTCCGAATGGGTAGAAAGCATAGGAAGTCACAGTTAACCACCATCAACTGGATCTACACACCAGGACCCGCAGGAGTAAATGGCAATAAAAGAGCTGAGCAGCTGGCAAGTAATGCACCAATGCAAAGGGAAAGAAGCATGGACAGAGCTGATATAATCAACGCTGTAAGGACTAGGTTAGGGATAATGTCGAATATCTAACGCTAACACAACTACGTTACCGAGAAGTTAAACTGAGTAAAGCACAATCGATGCCTTCTTCAAGGTTAAGACATGAGATACTATAACCAACTCTTCTTGGAAACAACAAGTAGAGGTACCTTGCAGTGGCTTCTGATCGGAGGTCGGAGCATGCAGGCGATGCCTAGTGTGCAAAGGCGTCGACTGTGATAACATAACATATTTAGGCGAACAAAGAATTAAATGAAAGAATAAACGGTCCGTTTGCACATTTGTTTACATTGCCACAAAGGGCGAGTTTGATATCTTCACTCTTCTGTTTTTCACCTTATACACAGTCACAGTTGAGGTGAGTTGATAATTGATATCACAGCACTCGGGGCATTCCCTTCTGTGCTCCCTCATACACACACAGGAGCTGTGTTGGCGCAGTCGATAGGAGACTCGCTTTCAAATCCAGCTGCGACTTGCTGCAGCCCACAGCCGGTGTTCGAAACCGGGCGGTTCCCAGGGTTCACTCAGCCTCTAGGTAATGGGTACCAGAGTTAACACTCTGGGGTAAATGGAAGAACGTCGCTGTAGCTACCGATTTGCGCGCGGACACAGGCGGACAGTTTCTCATCAGCTGTCCGAACTGGTAGCAGAGTACTTATGGTTTATAACCGTGTGCAATGACGCTGGTTCACATCTCCTGACTTTACCTTTTACCTTTACTTTACATATACACGGTCACAATGACCAGGAAAAAACATGGCTGGAGAAAAAGGTTTCAGTCGAGCATGTTATCCCAGAAAGACACGAGATGGGCTGGATCGAAGACAGTGTCTGGTGTCTTTGAGGGGTTCGAGACTGACAAACATCAGTGTTTCTTTAGTGCCAGGTTACGCAGACATGCAAGAAAATGAGCAAGCTGATAAGCTAGCAGGTACGGGTATTATGAAGGGAGATAGGCCATGGACCAGGCTGACATAATGAAGGCACAACAAGAAGGAAAACGTTTGCGAAAACCAAATGACTGAATATACAGCCATGACTCGACTGAAAAAACAGCTAGTTAAAAAAGGGTGTTGCCAGACAAAAGCACTTTGCGTGAAGGAAAAGAGTACACCAATTGATGGTGGCAGCCGCTATACGCTATCACATTTACTCTGGAGTGGATGCGAGCACTTATCCATTGAATGGTTCGATCCACAATGAGGATGATCTGTCGACCAACGTATTAACTAATACCGAGTAGTACACTTTAGTTAGTAAATTGAAGAAATTAAAACTAATACTCAGCTTAAAATTGTGAAATCTAGTGTCAAATCAGTATTGTTGAATGGAGCGGAAACAGGGAGAGCAACTTAGGCAGTTATAAGTAAACTACAAACGTTCATTGACTGGTGCCTGTGCAGAATAGAGGGAATTAAATGCTATGATACAATTACTAGTGCAAAGCTTTGAGAGAGAAAAAAATTTAAAGATGGAGAAGACGTGCGAGCAGCATACGATAGCGAAGGGTAGGCCGACTTGAGGGTCTATGCTCATTGTCTGCTAGAAGGCAGAAGACGACGACGAAATTTAAAATAACAGATTTCACATTTTTTTTGGGTTAGTGAATATGAACCAACATTTGTCACAATTTAGTTAGAGATCTTAAACCAAAAGCTATCACATTTTAATTAGTGAATGTAAAACCAACAGTTGTCACTCATTATTTAGAGAATGTGAACCAACAAATTGTCACGTTAGTAAATGTAAACTAACAAGTATCACACTTTAGTAAATGTACACCAACAGCTGTCACATTTTAGTTACTGAAAGTAAACGAAAAATTATCACATTTTAGTTAGTGAATGTAAACCAACTTTAAGTTAGTAAATATATATCAACATTTTTCACATTTTACAAAAAATTTGTAACCAAACATTATTCAATATCGCAGTGAAAGCATTTCAACAACTGTCTCATCTCTCCACATGTTGATCAACAACTTCTGTTTCTGAACAGCATGTCCATATTTTCCTTCGGCAGGTTATCGCAAAGTGTACCACACTGGAGGCGTGGTCACCCACTTCTCCAGGCTGTGGCTCTACCCAGACATCAAGGCTGGCATCTACATCAATGTGAATGGACCTCGAGAGAAGAATAATAAGCACAGTTTATTGGAGTAAGTTAAATGTGGGTTCCAAGGGGAAAGACAATGATAATGAGAATAAATCAGGCAAATAGTAATGTGGTTTCTCTTAATGGTACGTTGTCACCTTTTTCTTTTTCTTCTCTTTCACTTTGTACCTGATCGTTGTGTCGGGGGGGGGGGGGGGGGGGGGGGGGGGGGGAGGTAATATTCGTTGATGAGCTTTGTCAAGAGCACTATTAAGACTGATGTTTATTTCTGTAAGGCTGTTCTTAATGCCATCACTCCATATTTTCCGAGGTCTCCCACCCATTGTAACGTTTTAGTATGGCTAGCTGTGGCAGATAGTATTAGGGCTTTCTTGTTAGGTGAACAAACCACTTCATTTGTTGTTCTTTGGTGACCTGAAAGACTGGATTTATTCCCAGCATTCGTATGATTTCGTGATTTCGTGTTCTGTCTTTCCTTGAAACTCCTGCAGCTCTTCTAAGGCATTTCCTCTCTGTTGTCAAAATGTTACTTTCATTGGAGCAAAAAATAGTTCTGATAAGATTCACTTTAGTACTCAGGGGTTACATTGTCACCGACTTTTAGAAGAGGAAGAATGGTTATGAATATTCTAGATCAAGGCTTTTCAGCTAGGTTTATTCAGGGGACAATATTTTCAAAATGGAGATCTTTCATGAACCAGAAGCCGGAGCTCCAGCGTAGAAAGATCATTAAAACAATGTAGCTTGCAATGATCCGTAGTTCATTCATTTGGCCTATACGGGCCAGGGTTAGGTCGGGGGCCATCAAATGAATAGACATGATCTAAATCAGCGGTTCTCGACCTGAGGGTCACGACCCTGTTTTGGGTCGAACGACTCTTTCACATGGGTCACCTTATTCTATTGGAAAACACATATTCAGTGAAGTTATGAAGGAAAATATTTGTTTGGGGGTCGCCACAACACGAGGAACTGTATTAAAGGGTCGCCACAACACGAGGAACTGTATTAAAGGGTCGCCACAACACGAGGAACTGTATTAAAGGGTCTTGGCATTAGTAAGGTTGAGAGCCACTTTTCTAGATGTTTCAAGCTGTCACTATATCCGCTTGGCCTAGTAACTTAATCCGTTTCCTAAATCTTACATATTATAATTCGAAATCCTGGACCCCGGTGTGGGGCGAACAAGAATAGACCTACTGCTTTCCGCAACAAGCATATCGCAGGAGTCGAAGAATTAGGTACTTCCTTCGAAGTTAGAGTGTAACTGCTGAGATGCAAAGAACCAAAAGTCTGCATAGAAATAAGTCTGATCGGTAACGCGGATGTTGGAACAAAACTAAAGTCCAGAGGAAAACAAACAACCATACCTGTCGGAGTTTACAGCCGTTGAACTCGAGGAAGAAGATGATGAAGAGTTAGAAATCAGCTGAGCATGGTTACAAATCAGGTGCCTGTTGCTTGTGTGGTGTCAGAGTCCAATCGTTCAATGGGATGAATTCAAGAGGGGTCAAGGAAGAACTCGACATGTTTGAGCAACCAGTGATAACAACAGTTATACGAGAGAAGGAATTGCCCTATACTAGACACATTCGGATAGGAAACGAGCAGAGAATCACCAAACGTGCACTCATATTGGCTAAAGAACAAGATGCATACACATGTAATTGTATCAGACCTTGAAAGCATGCTGAATAAGCTGAGGACACGGATGCTTCGAGCAGAGTGGCAAGCTTCAATATAAAGGTCACGGGTAGTGAGCATACTTTGGATCTTTTCTCCAGGCAATGCCGGCGTGGTGGGTAATGAACAGAAGACAGATTGGCTGGATCTGCACCACTTGGTGGTAAATTTATACATAACGAGGCGGCTGATCAAGGCCCTTTGGAAGCAAGATTATTATGGCCTGGAGAGATGAGGCATCTGAGTCTAACTAGAGAGTCTGGCCGGCTCACTACACTCAGAGGAAAGACAAGACGGACATATAACTACATTGTGACCGGTACCATCAGTGCGGGTCTCACTACCCAAAGACCAGGAGAAATTACTTAAAGTCCAAGTCCATGTGAAAAAATCTCATCCCTTACCGGGGATTGAACCCGAAACCTCTAGCACTCGAGGCGGACACCATGCCTCGAGACCACACAGCACCCTAAGACAAGAAAGCTCCATGTTCTCATTGTCCTTCATCATTACGGATGAAAGAAAGAGTGCCGGTTATCACTTGTGACGGACGACCAACAACAAAATGGCACAACACGACAACAAATGGTGTCAAAAAAAAAAAAAAAAAGGACGTGGCGGATATTTGGAGCCATGCTTGTAGTCTTGTAGATCTGTTGGCAATCAGTGGGGGACGCGGTCGTCATCACCCTGGCAGACTTTACTTGCTAAGAGAATTCCTGGTACAGAGTGCAGGCCGGGTCGATCTGGCAGCCAAAGTCATTTTTGAAATACGATTCTGGATTCGAACCCACCACCTTCGTGTCAACAACAACAAAAACCTCCTCTCCCCCCTTTCCGGCCATGTAACAACGTATTCTCATTAAGTATTTGTTATCCCTTTTCATATATATATATGTATATTTTATATCGTTTTAATCATTCATCAAATAGGAAGTAAAGTGAAGGACTCGCTACCACTCCATTAGGCGTTTTGGGCATATAAGGCTAGACCTAAATTTTGTTCACAGATCGGCACTTTGGTAGATGATGTTGTCATCATCACGCTGGCCACCTTTACTTCCCAGGACTGCACCCCTGGTACCCACTCAAAGCTTAGTCGATCTGGGAGCAAAGGTCATTTCTGAAAAAGTCTGTCCCCCGTCAGGACCCGAACCCAGGAACTTCGGATCCACAGGCGAGCGTCTAGCCTCAACACCACGGCAACTCCCGTCATCTAATAGTAGTAATAATTAATGTAATAATTTTGTTTTTATTGCGTCTTAAAACAAGGTTTCATTGCCTGGAGCATTACTGTCCCTTAAACATTATAAGCGAGCTGAGCGCTCCCGCCCCCCCCCCCCCACCACCACCTACTCTCCGCCCTCCCCAAAAAATAACTATTACATCTTGTTGACGACGCCCCTGATGTGCACACATTTGCAGACAACATTCTGTAATGTATAGTTTCAGCGAAAACCAAATGAAAGTTGATTTCTGTTCCCAGGTCCTTGATGTATTTTGTCTCTGACCTACTTTTAAACGAAGAACCGTGGTTGAAGAAGGACGCTGTCTGCCAACACATAGCTTCTCTACAACAGGCCACGTCATCTGAAGGGCCTCATACACTTCCAACCACTGACTCATCCATCTTCGATTTACAGATAAACTCAACTGAACTGGGCAACGCTTCGGTACACAATCATTCGTCAAGTTTACAGGAGTTTATCGGCAACTATTCCCACAAATGCTTCGGTCGGATAGAAATCACAAAGGATTCCCTAAATAGCAAACTGGTATTTAGATTTGGTCGCTTTGGCTGGATGAACTTAACCCACCTTTCTGGTTTGGACTTTTGGGGTTTATACTTTGGCCCATTGAGCTATTTAAACTCAGGACCCGATGCAGGAGAATTGATTCGCTTCCTTCGCAGTCCCACTGGAGATATTTCAGCCGTGTTGTACTCCATGGATGCACCAAATGATTTTATTCAGTTTGATCGCACGGATATGGTTGGACTCGATTACGACACAAATGGAGGAAACGGTCTCTTGTTACCAGTTTTTTTCCTTTATTTCTTGGTGATATGTTGTAGCTTACATCGGCTGTAGGACATTAGTCAGTCATCAGTGGTGATATGTTAGATTACACAGTGGCAGTGTTATATTAGTCCATATTATTGTTGGTTTGTTTTATCATATATCTATTGTAGGAAATCATATGACACAGCGGATGACTTTTTAATAATACACTACAATATCACCAGAGGTAATTTGTTTGACCGTAAATTTACTATAGAACATTGCTATATCCACAGAGACAACTTGTGTAACCCCAAACCCATATAGAACATTGCTATATCCACAAAGGCAATTTGTGTAACCCCAAACCCACTATAGAACATTGCTATATCCACAGAGGCAATTTGTGTAACCACAAACCCACTATAGAACATTGCTATATCCACAGAGGCAACTTGTGTAACCACAAACCCACTATAGAATATTGCTATATCCACAGAGGCAATTTGTGTAACCACAAACCCACTATAGAATATTGCTGTATCCACAGAGGCAATTTGTGTAACCCCAAACCCACTACAGAATACTGCTATACAACCAAAGGTAATTTGTTTAATCATACATCAACTATGGGACATCAGTACATCACCAGTGGTAATTTGCATGACCACACACCCACTATAGGATAGCGGTATATCACTAGGATTAATTTGTTTCACCATACACCCACTATAGGACATCCGTACATCACCAGTGGTAATTTGCTTCACCAGACACCCACTGTTGAACATTACTATTTCCCCAGAGGTATTTTAATTAACCATACACCCATTATACGGCTTCACTATATCCCCAGATATGTTTTGTTTGACAATACACCCACTATAGGACATTACTATATCATCAGTGGTAATTTGTGTTTACACACGCTAGTTTCAGGAAATCAGTATGTCATCAATGGTGATCTACGTAACCTCACACCTTATGTGGTATATAGCTGATCACCAGTGATGATCTCTTTGACGTTACACCGGCTGTGGTATATTACCCACTCAACAGTTGTGATCTATTTGACTTTACACCGGCTGTGGTATATAAATGACTCACCAGTAATGATCTCTTTGACCTTACACCGGCTGTAGTACATTACACACTCAACAGTTGTAATATATTTGACTTTACACCGGTTGTGGTATATAAATGACTCACCAGTAATGATCTCTTTGACCTTACACTGGCTGTAGTACATTACCCACTCAACAGTTGTGATCTATTTGACTTTACACCGGCTGTGATATATAAATGACTCACCAGTAATGATCTCTTTGACCTTACACCGGCTGTAGTACATTACCCACTCAACAGTTGTAATATATTTGACTTTACACCGGCTGTGGTATATAAATGACTCACCAGTAATGATCTGTTTGTTCTTACACCGCTGTAGTACGTTACTGATACACCAGTAGTGATCTGTTTGATCTTACCGCGCTGTAGCACATACTTTATTCGCCAGCAGTGACCTATTTGACCACGCACCGACTGTATTACATAACTGACTCGCCAGCAGTGATTTTTTTCTAAACCGCGCAACAGCTCTAGTTCATAACGAATTCACCAGCAGTGATCTATTTGACCACATACCGGCTGTATTATATAATTGACTTATCAGCAGTGATTTGTTTGACTAAGCACCAGCTGTAGTTCATAACTGATTCACCATTAGTGATCTGTTTCACCACACACCGGATATATGAAATTAGCCATTCACCATTGGGAATTAGTGCGCCCGTAACCTGTCTTTGAAACATCAGCGAGCCACCAGTGGTGATCTTTTTAACATTACAATTAGGGCTGTACCGAATATTCGCTTCGTATTCGCTTCGGGGCCGAATAGTGGACCTAATAACTAGGGCTGTACCGAATAGTGATTTTCACTATTCGGCTGAATACGAATAGGTGGATCAACTATTCGGCCGAATATGAATACGAATAGTAAATCATTATCATCAGGTGCTTTGCCGACTGGCATGGGCTATTATGCCTTGCCACAATCTGCGATCTCCTGCAGGATTTATTAGTTCGTGTGCTGACACACCTCCATGCCATGCAACAAGACTGTCAAGAATCTTCTCTCATTGTCTTCCTCTATCCCTCCTTCCATAGATCTTTCCAGTGGTCACCAGATGTTCCATTTTTCCTCATCTTATAACATGGCCGAAAAATGATGACTGTCTCCTGCTGATGTCTGTGAGTAGTTGTCTTCGGGCTCCCGCCTCTTTTAAAACCTCTTGGTTGCTTTTTTCTGGCCGTCAAAGGTATTTTAAGCGTTGTTCTGTAAAACCACATCTCTGAGGCCTCAAGAAATTGTTTGGCCTGCCTACCGATTGTCCAGGACTCACAGCCATATGTTAAAACTGGATGTATGTAGCAAGCAAGAAAGCATTAGCTTTAAAAAAAACACACACACATACAATCGTTCCGTGTTGGCAGAATTAATGCAGCTTCTTGTCTCACTGGGGGTATTTCCAGCTGTGCTAAACAGACGTTGTTCACTTGGTACACTCGTATGTGGTGCACAAAGTAACGCTTGACAATATAAACCAAGGTGGGATATCTTGATGTTTATTTCTCACCAGTCCAGAAACGGGTGTAAGGTAATCACTATTCGTATTCGGCCCGACCGCAACTATTCGGCCGAATACCGAATAGTTATTAGGTCCACTATTCGGCCCCGAAGCGAATACGAAGCGAATATTCGGTACAGCCCTACTAATAACTATTCGGTATTCGGCCGAATAGTTGCGGTCGGGTCGAATACGAATAGTGGTTACCTTACACCCTTTCATGGACTGGTAGAAAAACAAACATGTCAAGATTTCCCACCTTGGTTCATACTGTCAAGCGTTATCTTTGTGCACCACCTACGAGCGTACCAAGTGAACGTCTGTTTAGTACAGCTGGAAATACCTTCAGTGAGACAAGAAGCTGCCTTGATGCTGACAACATGGAACGATTTTTTTGGGTGTGGAAAGCTAATGCCGCTTTCATGGATTAATTAAGCTGTCAGTGACATTTTACAAGTTTAGTTACTTGTTATAAAACTAAGAATACTTTCACTCCTATTTATTAGTTACCACAGACTGACTGACTAAAGAATGCAAAACATGAAATGTATTTAAATGTTTACTATTCTGTACTACATTTTGTGAAGTAAAATGTCAGCGTATATTTGACATTATGGATGTTTTCTTTTTAGATCTATTTTCTACACAAAAGTGAAAGAATGGGCCTCAGTTTGATTAGTGGGAAGACAGAAGTAATGGTGGTATCAAAGAAAATAATTACTCCTAAATGTGTAATAAAAGTCAATGGTTTTATTTTGGGACAAGTAAGGAAATTTAAGTATCTGGGCACATGGATAACATCAGATGGAAGATGCATTACTGAAAAAAGAAACATAATAGGACAGGCACAAACTGCATTTTATAAAAAGAAGAACATCTTATGCAATATTTCTTTGTCATTGAAGGTTAGAAAAAGAATTCATGCTTGCTACATACATCTAGTGTTAACAAATGGCTGTAAGTCCTGGACAATCGGTAGCCAGGCCAAACAATTTCTTGAAACCTCAGAGATGTGGTATTACAGAACAATGCTTAAAATATCCTGCATAGTGAACGAACATCGAACCGAGGCGAGCTGTGCTCACTACAATAAGACTAGTGAACGAACATCGAACTGGGGCGAGCGGTGCTCACTGCAATAAGACTAGTGAACGAACATCGAACCGAGGCGAGCTGTGCTCACTACAATAAGACTAGTGAACGAACATCGAACTGGGGCGAGCGGTGCTCACTGCAATAAGACTAGTGAACGAACATCGAAATGGGGCGAGCGGTGATTACTACAATAAGGTTTGTAAACCAGCAATGAACTGGGTCAGGCAGTGCTCACTACAAGAAGACTAGTGAATCAACATCGAACCGAGGCGAGTGGTGCTCAGAGATGTGGTATTGCAGAACAATGCTTAAAATACCTTGGACAAAAAAACAAAAACAAAAGCAACCAAAAAGTTTTGATAGAGGCGGGAGCCCGAAGACAACTACTCACAGACATCAGAAGGAGACAGTCATCATTTTTCGGCCATGTTATAAGATGAGGGAAAATGGAACGTGACCACTGGAAAGATCTGTGGAAGGAGGGATAGAGAAAGAGAAGATTCTTGACAGTCTTGTTGCATGGCATGGAAGTGTGTCAGCACACGAACTAATACATGTTGCAGGAGATCGCAGATTGTGGCGAGGCATAATCGCCCATACCAGTCGGCAAAGAACCTGATGATGATGATTCACTATTCGTATTCGGCCGAATATTTGGTCCAGCTATTCGTATTCGGCCGAATAGTGAAAATCACTATTCGGTACAGCCCTAATTACAATGGATATAATACATAAACCAATCACCATTGGTGATGGGTTTTTGACAGTGATTTCAAAGATTTGAATCACCTAAATCGGCAATGATTATCTGTTTAATCTTACACCTCAAGTAGAACACCAGTCATTCACCAGTGGCGACTTTGTTGACCTTACACCGTATGCTAAACATATAAGTGGCTCCACAGATTCAATACCCACACAGTCGGAGATAACATATTTCCCTAATGATTACATGTTGTGTTTCAAAGCATTGTCATGTGCAAGTTCTTCAATCATCCAACAGGCCTGCGTGTGTGTTCAGGAAAATGGTTTTGAGATCCGATGACACAGGTATCTCCCCAGTAAATATTGGATTACTGAGGTACTACTCCTATTTTGTGTCATCTAAACGCACTGACACGATCTGTGATTTTGGTGATCTTGTGAGATGGCAAAACATGACACTCTACGTTTATTGACCAAGTCCATCTGCTGAAAAACATGAGTTATGAGTTAGATTATCTTCACAGCACTCCGGACACATCCATAGGCGCTCAGATTTCCCTCTCAACATATTCATCAGCGTCGTGCGGTTAACAGTACCAGTCCTATGTTGGTTAACAAGACTTCGTGTGCGTCTGGTTTGCGTCTCATGCTTGGCTGTGCCAA